AACATACTAGATGTCATTACTGGATTTTTTTTATGTTGGTTTTTAATATATGTACTCTATTTTTAGAGTTTTTTTCTGAATCTTGTAATAGCAACCATTCCATTTTGGTTTGAGGTCTTTTTTATTAACAGTGATCAAAGTGAAATATTTCATTTGAGTTAGAAAAAGAGACACTTGAGATGAATGAGGTTCTGCTCTATTTGGAGCATTGGATGTTTCTGATATATGATCTGACTTACAAAGTTAGAAAATTAATTGCACAAAGCAATTCATTTATAAACAGATAATAAAACAGCATTATCATTAACATTCAGAAAGCAAGTTTGAATCTCATTCAAATACATTGTAAACAAATATTCTGTGTGCAATTAAGGCTTGTACAATTTTTTAGTGTTCGGTTAATACATTTGCTGATACATTGTTTTTTTAAGAACAAATTGAGATCTCTGAGAACTACAGAATTAGGATAGAGGGCTGCTTTAGTTAAATGTGAAAAAGCTCCCTTTCTTTAGGTAGAAGTCAAGCAGCCTTTCTGCCTCTAATTCAGGGATAAACCCAGGTTGGTGATGTTCTTGAGAAGTTCACACACTGAGCACAGAACTGTGTTTAGATTTAAAAACCCCTCTCTTTGTAATTTGTTATTACTCAAATAGAAGCTAGTGTAGGGCATTAAAGGCATCTTTTGAAGATATGTAATTTTGTTGATCCTGATGCTTGGTAGCTCACTGCTGTTGGTACATGTTACATTGAAAGAAAACTCAACTCTCCGACAGCTCTGATTTTTTTGAACAGCAGGTTTGTTGGACTTTCATCCCATGTGCACTTGCAGTTCAGCTGTTCAAGACACTTTCCTCCATGGAGAGGTGGTGTATAGGACAAGCGCAGCAAATGTCTTTTCAATCAACAGGATTCTCTCTCATGTCCCTTTCTCAACAGCCCTCTTTCACTTCCAGAGCAGGATTTTGCATTGTTGCCAGGGGACTTTGAAAGAGCAACAGGTCACTCAGACTTAAATCCATTTCGTATGGAACATTAACATTAAATCATGTTAATTAACATTAATATGACTTACGTGGCTTAAGACTTATCTTTGGGTTTAGCAGAGCTCTAGGAGTAATTCAAAAGATGAGCTATTATTCCCAGTGGGATCCTGACTTCAAATCCACTCAAGGCAATGGGTGTCCTTGATCTAGCTTAGGAGGCTCTGAATCAGGAGGAAATTTCACATCAGCTTTCCTGGCTAATCTTTCTTCTGCTCTTCATTCTGCTTTGTGATAACCTCTTTATGCTGGGCTGTGTATCAGTGCCATGCAGAGCCAACCCCTTAACATCCCTTTTGCTGTTCTGGACAATGAGGCAATAAGCCATGTGGGTTTTGGATGATCATTGATCTATTTTTGGGGCAATCTTGTTGCCAGGAATAATTTATGGGACTTTTGGTTTGGATTGTGTGTTTATGTATGGAAGTAAATGCTTGTAATGGATATTTTAAAATATTTTTTTCCTGACTTAACATTTAACACATTAACACTTCTGATGTCATTGGGGGCCTCTAGGCAAACACCACGACTTTGGTTTCAAAGCCCCAAGTGAACAACAGGTAGGTACAAGTTTAACAGATGAACTGCAAGATCACGAAGAGACCACATTTAATGAATTTTATAAGGTCTATTCCCAACTTCAATGCAAATATTTTTATTTGATATATAGTGTTCTGCATAACGAACCCAATATGTTGACCTCTGACATTCTAAGTGATTCCCTCATCTGAGAATTAAAAAGTGAACTGTTTTTTCTTCAGTCATGTAATAAGCATAGGTCTCAGATCTAGCCTACTGTATTGACACATGTAGAACCCACCTAAATAAATCAAAGGGGGGTATTTGAGTATTCTATTTTCCTGTAGGTTGATGGGAGACTAAATTGTTTTAATAGCTCAGTTATTTATTCTGTCAGTGCAGACAGATCTAACAGTGATCATAATCAGAAATGTTCTTTGGAAGAATCATTGGGGCTATCAATATCTTGGCTGGCTTAGTCATCAAATTCATCAGTTTTAATAGGCTTAGATGTATTAATTCATTTCAGAATGATTTTGCACTATTTAAAAAACATTTACTGTTTAGTTGATTGAATTTTCAAGTATTTCACTTGGTAAATAATTCCAAAGTATTTGGATTTGCACAAAAGAAAGGATGAAAGGCCTAAAAAGATGGTGGTTTTTTTTCAAAATTGTCTTTAATGTTTATGCTTTCTTTTCTTTCCCTAGATACAACAATGGTGGCTCATACACTATTCTGGTGGATTCTAAAAGGGCTTATTCTGCCTTTTTTGCTCAAAACTACTCTGTCCCTAAACCCAGATGATCCAAATGTTTGTAGTCATTGGGAAAGGTAATGTGTAGCATGCCAATTTATTGATTTTTTACTAGCCACTTCAAATTTTTACATTTAAAAGGCAAAATGAGCCATCATTGGCTAAATACTACTATGCCTCAGAAAAGAACATGGATTTGTATAAAAGAAGTAGCACTTTTGGGTACCTTTGGGGATTTGGATGATCCCGAGGGATTGGTTCTAAAGTTAGGGCAATACACCACACACCCCGGAGTCTGCTCAGCCCTATTTTGGAAAGCTCCTCCATAGTTTCAGCTGGAGGACTGCACAGATTTGTTTCCATTTATTATGAAGAGATTTAGAGAAATTATGGCCTTGTTCTGTCTGACTTTTTTCTGTTTGCTGTTGTCAAGCAAGACTGTTAGAGATTTCAACTAAGTTTTAAGGTTTGTTCTCTGTGTCCTGAACTTTGTGGCTCTATCTGCCAAATTCGTGTCAACATCAAAGAGAATCTGCATGAAAGCACTGAGAATGAAAGGCCCTGATAATTCTTTTTCTCTCTATTGTTACAGTGTCCTAAAAGTGGATCCGTGCAGGACATTTCCTGTGGTACACAGAGACCCACTAGCTTTGAAAAGCCGCATGTTCATGCAGGGTCTATTTGCAGAGGCTAAAGTTCCTGTACTCTTAATTTTAACCTGCTAAATTTCCAGTCTTGTTTCATGGTTTAGTTCCACACAAAAAGGAATTACAGTACAATTCAGTGAAACAAATCCCTTAAAAAGAGCAAAAAGAGAAGAATACTTTAGTGGCACTATGTTTTGACTTCAGAGACCTTAATTAGAGAACTAACTGCTTTTAGGTAATTCACCTGCAAAGCAAAGTCTGTACAGGAATAGAGTTTTGCAGTCTGTGTTGTGAGGTGAAGTGCATTCAGAACACAGGAATAAAATATTGATTTTGTCTGTAGAAAGTCAGCAACCTAGAGACCCAATCAAGGAGAAACAAAAATTAAATACCAAAATTGATTGGTTGTACTGACCAAGATGACTTTGTTACTTAGATGTTAATAAATCAAAGGGAAAAGATTGTTAGGGCAATTATTGGATAACAGGCAGGATCATAAAATAATAACCAACATTTATGAGTGTTAGTGTTTTATATTAATACTGAGCAATGGAAATATTTTACATTTAGGCTTTAGTAGAGGTAAAAATGTTGTCAAACCCAGCAAATTATGATAGAGGGCAAAAGAAACACCAAGTAGAATCTTGGCTTGTCTAGAAGCTGCATGACAAGCAGGGCAGTAATAGCTCTATCTTCAAGTTCAAGCCAATCAGACCTTTCAAGCAAGTATTTTGGGATTCCCTTATGGCTACAACCTCACAGGGCTTAATCACATCAGCAGTCCCATTGATGAGACCAAAATCACCTGGATGATTAAGACAATCAATATAATGAATGAGTTGGGGGATCTAACTCCTGGGTCTTGACCCTGTCTAGAATGATTTCAGTATTGTTCTCCGAAGATATTGTGGATCTGATAAAGTAGAGCCTGCTACCAGATCAAAACCTGAGATTATAAGTCCCTTAAGCACTGCACACACTGCAGGGCAATACAACTGAGGCTAACAAGTAAAGGAGATTTCTGTATCATGCGAGAGGCCTGGACACTTTAAATAAAATTACAGTAATTCACAGAGTACCTGTTGCATGAACAAGTACCATTTTGGGAAGGAAATTGCTGAATTCTTCATATTATAGAAGCTCTGTGCTTTCTAATTAATTTGCCCACATTTTGTTTATACACATTCATTTGTACAGAGGGGGGTAATCCCATTCTAAGCACATGTTCCACATCTGCATACCAGTTAACTCATGTTAAAATTTTCAGGTAGTTCTGAGGTTATTTCTGCTTCAAATTAGAGGGATTACATTTGTGCAGCAGGAAAATAAACATTCTTCAACCTTTTACAAATGATCCTGTTCGGTTGGTGCACCCAATATTTGAAGTAATGATACTGCTTTATCAGAATATGAAATGTGAGCATCCCATCATGCTGTAAACTGCTGCAGAACGGAGTTAATGTGAGCTCTTGTTAGCACTGTGGAATGCAAGCAAAAAATATCAGTCCTAGGCAGGAAGGCAGCTGAGACATTTTAAAACATGCTGCTTTCCTCTCTTTTTAATTTTGCACTATCAAGTTAACCATGTAGCCTTTTCACCTTCTAAGCTACCATGAATTTTAGTAACATTTGTTCCTCCCCCAGAAGGCAGTGGTTTATTACTCAGACTGAAATCTCTCTCTGCCTATTTCAGTCATGCAGCCAAAGTCATGCATTTCCAAAGTTTTCCAGAACAGCTGTGGTTGAAAGAAGCCCTTTTCTGGTTTTGGAGAACACCCAAAGTTTCTAAGATTATTGATTTAATTAGTTTTCATACTGGAGTTACATGAGTAGCATATACAGGAACCTGAAGCTTTTCACCTTGCAACAAACAGCCTTTCACTTTCTTTCTCTGTCTCCTCCCAGCTACGCTGTGACAGTCCAGGAGTCTTATGCTCATCCTTTTGATCAGATCTATTATACAAGATGTACTGACATACTGAACTGGTTCAAGTGCACTAGACACAGGTAAGAGCCAAGTCCCAGATATTTTAGTTTTATTTTGCCTTTTCATGTCCTCACATAACCTTGTAGTTATCCAAGTTTTTGTGGTAGTCTCATACCAATATGTAGGGGAAGATGTATTTTAGTACAGTAGCCAGGGTGTTTGGCATCCCAGGTCCTTGATTGAAGTAGAGATTTTTTGCATGAATAACTCTAGAAAAGCTACAGAAACATGCTTTAAATACTGAACTGGGACTATCATGTCATTTTTCAAGGCATGAATGCCTTGGAAGCATAAGCAAGAAGGAAGAAATCACTTGGGGTTAACTGCATATTTAGCTGGAGACACATGAAGAGCAGTTTCTATTGTGGCACTTTCTTGTGTAGCACTTTGCCAGAGTGCTCTCCCTAGAAGGTTCTCTTCATTCCATTCATGATAGCTGACCTTGCTGATATGCAGAAATGAATCATTTATTCTTGAAGAAACTCCTTGCCCTTGCTTTAGGACTGGGGAAATGTCTTAAGATAGGAAGGGCTCTGGTGTTTGACTGTCATGAGTACTGTGTTCATAATACCAGTTATATTTCAATTTCAAAACAAGTATTGATTTATTTTATATATTATTGTGGCTTTTAATATCAAAAGCTTTCATGCATTTTAAAACAATTATTGAAAGCTATCCTTACTATAATTTTACACAAATATAATTCCAGCAGCAGGCATTGATTTTCAATATTGTCAAATGGCTTTCTGTCTTGCAATTTAGGATCAGTTATAAAACAGCCTATCGAAGGGGACTAAGAACCATGTATCGGAGGAGGTCACAGTGCTGCCCTGGATACTATGAAAGGGAAAACTACTGCATACGTACGTACCAGCCTTTCATTCAAAAGGGACAATTGAAAATAATGTTTGCAGGAGCTGTACACACATTAAAGGTGTATTGCAGCAGTCATATCAAGGGCTGGTTTTCAGAGCTGCTCGGAACCTTCAGGTCCCGCTGGTTTCAGTCAGAGCTGCAGATACAGAACAGCTCAGGGCATTTCAGGGATGTGCATTTCAAGCACCTAGTGAAGTTCTGCTGAAATTATTGAGGAGGGAGTTAATCAAGTTCCTGAGTGCTTTCTTGAATTAGACCTCACTTTGGGGAGTAATTTATGCAAGTGTGCATCAAAAAGAATCAGAGGAACTGAGACCACTCTTACAAATGATTTATTACAGGGTATAAGAAGCAGAGTAAAGTTTCTGCCTCTTAACTTTGAAAGTTCTTACTCCTGGTCAGAACAGTTAAAATCTTACTGCATTTCATGCAGTTCCTGTCAATAATTTTACTCTTTTTTTTTAAGGCTTTGCAAATGCCAGAAAAAACATTGTCCTAATTGCAGTGTGTAAGTAAATAAAAGTCTGTGGAGTGTGTCAGGCGAGTCCAAGGGGGACAAAAAGTGAAACGGATCTTTCAGCAGCTCCTAAGGTCTTTTTTTAATTAAAAATGTCCTGTACATTAATGTCACGTGTTTCCAGTATTGCAGCTTTCCAAGTATTCTGATGTGGAATGTATTTGCTACAGTGCTCAGAAGGAGAGGGGAGCTGGGGATCTTGTCTACATCTTGTTAGAATGGGATTATGATACAAGAAAAACACAAGGGGTTTTGATTAGCATCAGAATCCAAATTTTATTGACAGGTTTCAAATGCCATAGAATAATTTAAATGTGAAAATGATAGAATTATCCAGCTAACTTTAGATGTCTTGACAGGGTGCTTTAAAGATATTTCTATATAGTCCTTTCTGGAGGTGTTATCTGAGTACCTATAATGTACTTAGTTTGTACTATGTGAGCACCTCAAAAATCCGAATTGATTCCAATCTCTGCCTTTGACGTGGAGGGAAGGAAGCTCCAGCTCTGTGGAGAAGGTTCTCCCCACCCAGCCAGCTCTTAAAATCTATTCCATTAGCAATCATGGAAGCCACTACAGCATGGGGAGGAGAGAACACATCCTGCAGTGAGTCTGATGATCAAAAGAAAGTTTGATTAAAAAACAGTGTGTAGATTAAAAGCTAATTGGTTCTTCTTTTGTTAGTAGCAGTCTTTATTTCTTGGAAAAGTTAAATAGCTTTGTAATTAACAGTGACCAGAGAAGGCTGAGTTTAAATCTCTATTAATTACTGTTTCTTGGACTTTAAAGCAGGAGTGAAGGCTTTCAGCTGCTGTTTTGATCTTTTCCCTTCTCATTTATTCTTTTTTTAAAGGAATGTCAGATAGGTGTTTTTATCTGTGTCCTTCTATTGGGACTTACTAGATGGATTAGATCTAATAAAATCTACCCTCAGTTCTAAACAATCAAGTTGACCCAGAGCTTCTTGCTCTTACACTGTGTCTCTGGTGTCTTCTTTGCCCTTTTGAGATCTTCACGTGCTACTACCCCATAAGATATGGAATTCAGGCACAAGGTCAAATAATTGTTCAATGGTTATTATACATCTGGCCAGCCCATTACCTTGGTTTAAACAGTTACATGGGTTAAACAGTTTTGGGATATGAAATTGACTTCTTAGTGCCAATAAAGGGCTTTGAATATTTTTGGGTTCTAACAGAATTCAGAAAATGCCTCCTAAAAAGTGCTGCCAATCTACATCTGCATTATTTTTTTGCGTTGATGTCTTAGAAATAGTCACTACCACTCTGGTAGTTTTGTGAAACTATTGCCCTTCTCTGAAAGTTCTTAGACATGACATAGCTTTTTGCTGAGCTGTCCCTGAAAACAAACAGCATAGTCTGAGTAGTAAATCAGAGCAAATACGATTTACTATACTTTGTATGCTAAGGTAAGTTTTTGACAGAGGAAATGCATAAACTGCAGGAAATACTTTTTAAAAACAAGCACAGGATTCAACTGCCTTTCAAGGTTTTCGTAAGGTTGTTTTAAAGCTATATTGCCTGGATTAGTATCTGTGGCAGACAAAGCATCTCTGAATACTTTGCTGCTCAAAAAAAAAGGAAAGTCAAGGAATATTGCATGGTAATATTTTGCTTCACAATTTTTGCTCGTTGAGCAGATGGTAATTGAGTACTTCCCTTTATGAATACGTCAGGTGGAAAGATCCCCAGTAAACTAAATGGATACATCTTTGTCTGAGAGACCAATCCTTTGTTCAGTCTGTCCATTCTAATCTTATTCTTGCTCTGCAAATTTATATAAAAGAGACATTTCTTCTAGGTAACAAAGGGTCAGAGACCTAAGCATCAGTGAAAAGGCAGATGAGATGGGACTACAGGCAGCACATACTTATATCTGACTTTTTGGAAGAGAAAACAACCCTGAAGCACAGTTGGGAATTCACCTTCACAGATTGAGATATTTTAGCTTTTAACAGTTTTGTTTTTCACTCTCATACCTTACACTCTTCTTCTAACATATAAATCTATGCAATGTGACAGGGTGCAATAATGACAGGATTAGTGATTTAACAGTCTTATTTGCTGCCATTTATTTGTCATTCAAACCTGCCAAAATTCAGTAGAGTTATGGATTGACCATTTCATGGTTCTTTCCTTTCTTGGCCAAGATATTATTATTGATCTCAGATTGTTTCTCAACATTCAGCTTTCCACATTACAATAGCCACAACCATCATCAGGGTCCTTGACTTTGACAAATCTTTCTGTAGAGAAATTCTTGGTCTCACTGGTTGAATCTCAATTTGTCACTTAGAGTGGTCACTCAGGCAGAGGTTAGGGACATTATTATATCTGCATGTAGTTATTTACTCATCTTTTCAGCTGCCTGGTTTTTGACACCTTTAATGAATTTCTGAAACAACTGAGGAATGTTCTTTTAGTAGTTTGTGAAAATATGCAAATTTAGGACCTGAATGTTTCAGGATTTAAAACAATATGTCATAAATTCTTCAATTCCAAAAGAGATTCCAGCTCCATGGTGTGATGTGTGCTTTTAGCTGGTGGCAATATGAACATTCATACCTCAGGGTTGCACTCAGACTTACATGGCTGCATGTCTGGTGTAGTTTTTTGTCATCTCTGGAAAGGCTGCCTGATTGGAGCCATATGGCTGGATTGTTAAACATCTGTACCACAGGAGGAACTATCCAGAGCTTCCTGCCATCTGGATGAATTACTCTAGTTGCAGTTCAGTGCATATGTTACAGCAGCACAACGACACAGCGAGGGAGTGTTCTTATAATGGGAAGCAAAATAATAGCTTCTGTGATCAGTGCAAAAGTTGTACTCTTAGAAAATGTTGAATCAGCAGCTTCAACTTCCTGAATATTCATAATGTTTGCTCATCTGTCAGATTTGTTGATTATTTTCACTTTATAAGGTGGTAGCTCATTAATGTCTTAGAAGAAATGTTGTCCCCCTTTTTCTCACCTCAATTTCAAATTCCTCATGGTGAGCATTTCTGTAACTTAAAAATATATTGTTTGAAAACTGCTGGACTTGGGAAATATATATTTCTTATCTTTATAGACACATTAAAGCTGGTGCTAGTGCTTTCTCTAAGAGCTTTCCTGCTACATTATTCAAGTACGACGTTCTGTACCTCAATAAAGCACCATAAATTAAGAGAACTGATCTAGCAGTACATAGATACTTTGCATCAGGGGACATTCTTTTTCTGGTTTTGGATGTATGAGTGCGAGAAAACCATGTGCAAAGCCATTCTGCATATAGGGTTATTAATTATAGAGTTGAAATGACATTAGGAGACACTTTGAAATTTCTCCTTTTATATGCATTTGAGATGAGTCCATATATCTTTTTCTGGTGATGAATATGAGAAAAATTATTTGAGGCCTGTGTTCCCATCTGAGGGGAAGCTTGCACAGGAATTAAGAAATTCTGCTTCTAGTCATAGTTGTCATAGTCATAATAGCAGCAACATTCTTGCCACTGTGTGGTGACTGGGAGGAATCTGTTTTCTATTGAAATGGAAGTGGATTGATAGGAGAGCAACAGAAGAACCATGCAACAGAACTGATTATTTGCATGTAACGTCTGCCACACTGCAGAGTGTAACCTACGAGTCATGTACCCATATCTAAAACACTGTTTTACAGAGCACAGTGGAGCAGGCCACAGCCCTGCAATCAGCAGAGGCCTTTGCATGCCCATTCTGAGCATCTTGGGAGGCAGGTGTGTCGGGACAGGAAGAGGAAGACCAGCCTTATAAGTAGGTCAGTTCATTTTGTGGCATAGATGGGGCCACTGGGTTACTATTTAGCCTAAAGATAATGGAGAGACCTCTTTGATGGGAAGGTGAAAAAATCAATTCTCATTTCCCATCCATCATTTTGTATTTGCCATCAGCTTCTGGATGCTGATGGGTTTGCAAAGATGCTGGTGGGGATTATTAATGAAACAAGGGAAGGACTTGTGGAAGAAATGCAGTAGGAGGAGGAGAAACAAAATGTTCATACAAAGGAATGAGAATAGCATAAAGGTGGAAAGGAGGGCATGCTGAATCTATATAATGTCTCAAGGGGCTTGATAAATATCAGAGGAATAATTATGCAGGCATTATAGTTAGAAAAACATTTATACTCTTCTTAGTGTAGCAGTAACAGAGCTTTTGTGGCTGCTTTTGGTGATCTCAGTTGGATCAGTATAAAAGAATATTGGGGATTCTGACACATGAGGCACTGGTTTCAGGGCTACTCATGGTATTCATGCTAATGGCCCAGATGCCTAGAAGCTTCAG